CTCCGTGTCAGCGGTTGACATTACTACCAGCGACATGACAGGAGCATAACTCGTGGCGCGAGCGCTGAAATGTCGAGTCATCGGCTTTCAGAAAGGAGATCGTGGAATGAGCGGCGATCTGCTGTAGTTGATTTTTCAAAACATAAAGAATTTCAGACAATACCCCCACGCCGCGGTTAGAATACTAATTTTCTAAGCTGCATTTGTTTTGGTAAGAAAATGTAGGAACTTGTTCCTACACTTTCTAGCTTTACCAAACGTTCCTGAACTTCTTTTATTTTAACCGTAGCGCAAAAGCACGGGACATGTTCGAAACACGTTTCTTTCAAAAATAGCTTTTGTGTACGTGTGATACCTTTTTCTTCGGGCTTCTATTAAATTCAATTATACGGGCGTATTTTTTTTTACAGGATGTGGAGGGAGAACTTGGGTATTATGTTGTACTAGTAGCACAGAGAAATAATTTTGGGAAAGGGCTAGCCAGCTTCCAAATAACCAGCGAATACAAAGTAGTTTTTTTAGTCTATGTTCAATGTAAAGATGATTTTCATTGTTATTCTCTGAGAAATTGTCAAAAGGAGGTGTGACCCAACGTGGTAGTGCCTAGGCTGAGATTCAACACAAAGCTCGTCCTGGCTGTATTTATCGATAAAATTTCTAACGGAAGCGAACCGTAATTAAGTGGTTAATAGACCTCCCGAGCAAAGTTTGAACATGACGTGGAAATTTATGCAAATCACCGAAGGAATGCCCACGCCACCGAATGAACGAATATATCAAAAAGTATGCCAATAATACTAGGAAATCTAGACTTCAGCAGAAGATTCTAGAATTGCTCTTCATTCGATCTCGCGCGCACGATAAGGTACTTGGTGGTGGATTGACTACTCCACTAGCTTGCCCCCTCATTTCTCATTTTGCAGTCTACAACACCTATCACCATGACACCCTCCCAAACAAGCACCCCCCAAGACCTAAACCGGCTACTCCCGCCTGAGCGAGTTGCTGAAGGAGTCTCCATTCTCACTCAGCTCGACGCTGACCGTCAATCCCGCCGCCAAAGCGTATCCTCTGTGCGCCTAGATAACGATAACGATGACATCGACTCGCCGTCTCCGATCTACCACCAATTTCTGCGGGAGGATACTCAGAACATTGCCGCTCTGACAAACTTTGCGCCGCTGGAATTTGAGTGCTTGTGGAATTCTATTCGAGCGCACGTGGCTGACCACTGGAATGTAGGCCGTGGCCGTAAGAGCAAGCAGCAACCCAAGGACGTGCTGTTCATGTTCCTGGTCGTCCTTAAGCACTGTGGGAAATGGGACGTGGTGGCAAACGTCTTCCGCATCAAGACGGGAACATTTCAAAAGATAATCCTTCCGTTGCAGAGGTTGTGTCTCCGTACCTCTACGAGAAATACGTGGTGTCCGCGGCTGGCAAATTCACGATGGAGGCGCTCGTGCTAGTAGACAACACGTTCCGTAACTACCCAAGCGCTCGCTACGCCACGGATGTTACTTTCCAGCAGAGCAACATGCCGACCGGCCAAATAAAAGAACGGCGTGCGTACTACAGTGCCAAACATCATCTTCACGGCTACAAAGTCGAGGTGTCTGTGCTTCCTAATGGCCTTGCACTCAACTGCACGGCGCATTACCCTGGCAGTGAAGCGGATATCCAGATTTTCCGCAACAACCACGAGTTTCACCTCCAACATCTTCTTAAGAGCTCGATGGAGACTGAGCTAGCAGATGAAGGGCCTCTAACGACTGAGCATTCCGACTCGTGGGCTGTTCTAGCTGATAATGGGTACCAAGGACTTGCCGCTGACTTTCGCGCCATCACGCCGTTCAAGAAGCAGCCGCTGCGGGAGTTGACCCTGGAGCACGTGGAGACTAAAGACCGCATTGCATACGACCGCGGCCTCGTAAAGAACTATTTCGGTCGGCTCTGCACGCTATGGGCAATGTGCTCAGACAAATACCGGTGGGATGAAGGCAACTACGACATGTTTTTTTTTGTGCGTGTGTAGCTCTCACCAATTTTCATGTGCGAATTCTTCCACTACGCAGTGAAGATGGTACCAACTACCACAACTACTTGAAGCGGCTTTGTGTGATCAGTCACGACGCTAGTACCAAGAAACTTGCAGTGCAAAGGCGTTACCGCGAAAAGAGACACATGCGTCTTCGACGCATGCTTGTCGCTCATGTGGATCGCCCCGGAAGTCGGTCTGCACGTCAGCGCGAGAGTGATGAAGAAAGCGAGGATTTTTTCGACCACGAAAGTATCGCTTTCGCTTGAGATCGAGATTTGGTAGTCGCTTCGGCGGCCTGGCAGTATGTAGTTGGTATGCTGATGTTCCACAATATGACATGGTCATTGATCCAAAGCAGATAATATCAACAAGACCTCCGCGTATTTGCGGCTTTCCGAAAATTCTCGCAACAATGGTAGAAAAAGCGGAATTTCATGAATTGGCGAAACTTCAGCTGAATAAGTAAAAATTGGTTTTGAGATCTAATGATCTGCTTATTTTACCTTTTCCTCTACGTTCTTATCGTTGACGTAAATAACTTTTCATTCCGAACAACTGTAGTCATGCCATACATATTTTGACAACGCAAATCTGCCGGAATTCTTGTGTACACATTTGGACATTTTCCCATCAATCAAGCCAGCTCTTCGATATTGCGATCGCCGCTGATTGGTTGGTGGCGCTTTGTTAAAAACCAGGGAGCATTTTCAAACATTGTCAAATGCCATAACGTGCACACGTCTCAATTAATAAGTGACTAGTTTTCTTAATATATTCCTCTTTCGTCTTTATGTGACACTGCATAGTACCATCCTCAGTCCTCTTTGCCTTTAACAGTGACGTCGGCAGCGACCGTTAGAAAACAGGCGGCAAACTTCAGATTTGGCTGGTTCCTGTGACTTCACTCCTGCATTCGCCGTCTCCGCCACCAACCTTTGGCATCCCCCACACATTCCCATTAACTCCAGAGCAGATCAACATGGGCAAGGGACAGCGCGCGCGCAAGGCCGCGGCCGACGCCATGCTGGCGGCCGCGATGTCGCAGAGTAAGCCGTCCGTGCTGGAGCAGCAGAACCAGGCGCCGTCGCTGCAGGTCGTGGCGCCCAGGAGCTCAGGTCTGAACGTGGTCATGCCACCCGTACACAAGAAGCCGTCGCCGCCTCCCTCTGAGACTTCAGCATCTTCGGCGGACGACAGCGATGAGTTCCGCCAGCTCGCGTCCGAGGAGCAGCGTGAAGCTCTTAAGGCGCTCGAGGACGTCGAAACCGTTAAGACGCAGCTCAACGACATCCTGTCTCGCCTCGTCGCCGCCTTCTCCTCCAAGGGCGAGCGCCACGCCGCTGCTGCTGACATTGTGGCGGCCCTGGAGATCGTGGGCGTTGCCAGCCCCGCAGGCATCCACGTGCTCGATGAGCTGAAGAAGTTCCTTGTGGCTAAACCCACTACAGCCCGTGAGGGTGCTCTGCTGGCCTTTGTTGCTCTGTGCAAGAGCGAGGAGCTGTCGTCCGTTATGGAGCCTGTGGTGGTGGAGCAGCTGTCGGTTCTCATGCAGCGCCACGCCGACTCGGAGCATGTCGTTAAGAACGCCGCTGCCACGCTGGCCAAGACTGTTGCGCAGAAGGTGAACCCACTGGCTATTCACACCGTTCTCAAGCAGATCTACACGGCGCTGGAGCTGCGTCACTGGCAGAGTAAGGTGGCTGCATTGAACCTGCTTAAGGAGCTTAGTGAGACTGCGAGCGAGGAAGTGTCTGGCTGGCTGCCGGAGATCATGCCCATTGTTTCCGAGTACGTGTGGGACACGAAGAAGCAGGTCCAGGCTGCCTCTATTGACGCTCTGATCGCTGTGTGCTCCAAGATCAGCAACGACGACGTCGTGCCGCTTGTCCCCACTCTTGTGGGCGTCATCGCCCGTCCAGAAGAGACCATGAAGGCTATCGACAGTCTTCTCGCGACCACCTTTGTAGCAAACGTGGACGCGCCGACGCTTTCCCTGATTGCGCCGCTACTGCACAAGGCTCTACGTGACACGAGCATCCACAGCTCCTCGCTTAAGCGTAAGGCCTCCAAGATTATCGACAGCATGTGTCGTCTTGTGGTGCGTCCGTCAGATGTGATGCAGTTCGTGCCACTGCTGCTGCCGCAGCTTGAAACAGCCATCGACCGCTTGATTGACGAGGAGGTCGTTGAGGCTGCTAAGGAAGCTCGTTCTCATCTTGTGCACGCTGCCGGTGACGGTGAAGCAATGGAGGAAGACCCGATTGAGATCCGTAAGAAGCTGGAGGCTGACATTCTCACTGCATTCACCGATACACTCGACCGTCCAACACACCCTGGTCTTAACGACTTCACGCTGCAGTACGTCACTGATGTATGCACGGAGCTGGCCACGCAGAACCGCGGATCAGAGTGGCGCTCCATTGTGATGCCCTACTTGCAGCCACACATGCACGACTCGGATGCTGAGCACGTTTGCGACGCTCTGCGTGCTGCTGGCGGCGGTCTGGGTGAAGAGCGTGAGAAGTCAACGGACCCAAACGACGTGTGTGATCTGGACTTCTCGCTGGCTTACGGAGGCAAGATTCTGCTGCGTAATGCTCGTCTGCGTCTGACTCGTGGCCACCGCTACGGTCTGATCGGTAAGAATGGTGTGGGTAAGACCACACTCATGCGTAACCTGGCTTCGGGTGCCATTGAAGGTCTGCCGGAGACGCTGCGCTCCGTGTACGTGCAGCACGAGGATATCGTGGAGAGTCAGGGAAGTTTGTTAGAGTCCATGTGCAAAGCTCCAGAGCTGGCTCACCAGACCCCTGAGGCTGTCGAGAAGACCCTGACGGACATTGGATTCACTCAGAAGATGCTGGACGGCGAAATCGATGCGCTTTCCGGTGGTTGGCGCATGAAACTCGCGCTCGCTCGTGCCATGCTGTACAACGCCGACGTTCTGCTACTGGATGAGCCGACGAATCACTTGGACGTGCACGCTGTGCAGTGGTTGGTGGACTACTTGAACTCTCTGGAGACGATGACGGTGTTGCTGGTATCCCACGACACCGGTTTCCTGGACAACGTGTGTACGGACATTTTCCACTACGAGTCGAAGAAGCTGGTGCTGTACCCGATGACGCTGTCCAAGTTCGTGGACATTCATCCGGAAGCTAAGCACTACTACGAGTTGAAGTCTTCCGACATGATCTTCAACCTGCCGGAGCCTGGTCGTCTGGAGGGCATCAACTCCATGACGCGCCGTATCTTGACACTGGACAATGCCACGTTCACGTACCCTGGAGCTTCTAAGCCCCAGTTGAATGACGTGTCTGTGAAGCTCTGTCTGGCCTCACGTGTCGCTGTGATCGGAGCCAACGGAGCCGGTAAATCGACGCTGATCAAGATGATTGTGCAGGAGACGTCGCCCGACACTGGCACCTTCTGGAAGCACCACGCGGTGCGTGTGGCGTACGTGGCGCAGCACTCGTTCCATCACGTCGAGAAGCACCTCGATAGCAGTCCTGTCGAGTACTTCCAGTGGCGTTTTGGAGGCGAGAACGGCATCGATCGCGAGCTTGGCGACCACGTTAACTTAAAGCAGACAGAGGAGGAAAAGAACCTCGTGGGTAAGAAACAGGGTCAAGTGGAGAAGATCGTGTCGCGGACCAAGGGCAAGCGTGGCACACTCGAGTACGAGTGCAAGCTGGTGGGCATGACGGAGCGCCACAACAAGCGCTACACTCTGGAACAGCTGCAGGAAATGGGTCTGGGTGCTCTTGCTGAGGCCGAGGACATCCGTCAAGCTACACTGGCTGGTGGACTGGACCTTCGTCCGCTTACGACCAAGGAGATTCAGCGGCACCTGGACGACTTCGCACTACCCGCCGAGTTCGGCACCCACGGAAAGATCCGTGGACTGTCAGGCGGTCAGAAGGTGAAGCTTGTGATCGCCGCGGCCATGTGGAACCGCCCGCACTTGCTGGTGCTCGATGAGCCCACGAACTACTTGGATCGCGCTGCGCTGGGGGCTCTGGCGGACGGCATTCGTCAATATGCTGGCGGTGTGATCATGATTTCCCACAGTGAAGAGTTCTACAACTCGCTGTGCACGGAGAAGTGGCTGGTGGAGTCTGGTCGCTTGACAATCATCGGTGAGGCTCAGGAGAAGGAGTATCGTGCTGGTGGTGGCCGCAAGGTGATCGAGGAAGAGCCCGAGGAGGAGAAGAAGGTGGGCAGCAACATCAACTCGTCCATGAAGCGCACGAAGCTGACGAACCCCAAGACGCTGCGTCCACTCAGCAAGCAGCAGATCCGTAAGCTCAGTAAGCTCAGCAAGGCTGCGGGCGTGTCGTTCGACGACTATGTGGACGGCCTCACGCGTGAGAGCCCCGACTGGAAGTGGCTGTAAGCGATAGACTTAACTTACTATGGAAGCAATAGACAACCAACACTTTGTACATGCAAACCGAAGCGAAAATCAATGGTTTTTCAAAAGCTATGTTTCTCGTCGTATCGGTACATTCGATCGCTACAGACATTGAAATTGCAAATTGCTGCCAGCACCATTCAATCGTCGACGCCAAGTAATGCTCACTCAAGCATCACATTGTCATTCCTCAAGTTCATGTGGACATCGGCCAACGTGCTGTGGCAGTTTACAATATCAACATCAGGAGCTATCGTGTGCTTGCAGTGTCGAAACGCACTTGTTGATGGTCACTATTTACGGAATCTCAGAATCTCGCGGTGAGATTCATGGTTGGGGACAGTTTTAGCTGGACAGTAATGGTACAATTTTCGACAATTTTTGTTCCTAACAAATGAGCCGAAGTCGAAGTCGCAGTTTGCCGCGCGAGCGACCCACGCGCCGCTGTCGATCCCCGAGTCATGACCGACGCCTGAGTAGACGCAATAAGAGGAGTAGAAGCCCCGACGATCGACGTAGGAAAGGCCGCTCTCGAAGCCGCAGCCCCAGCATCGCTTCATCGCGCTCTGAGAGCGAAGAGAGGCATCACAAAAAACACAAGAAACACTCGAAAAAGAAGCACCACAAAAAGCACAAGAGGGACAAGGTGGATGAACTACACGTTGAAGAGGCTGTAGCTCCTGAAGAAAGCAAAAATGGCGAAGAAATGAAGGAGCAGCCGACGGACACTACTACGCCAGTTGACGCGAGGAGCTTCTTCGAGCAGCTCCAGAAGCAGGAAGCGGCCAAGGAACCGGTGGGTACAGTGCATGCTCGAGGCCTCCCTGCTCCCGTCTCTGCGACGGCGATCTCGACGTCGGACAAGTGGGAGTGCAGCAAGGCAGGCTGTGGCCACATGAACTCCAAATACGCACCGGCCTGCAACAAATGCGGCGCCATGAAGCGAATGACCGAGTGGCGATAGAGTGCGATTGTAGACTGCAACACTAGTGTG